TTACTACAAATCCATATCACAGTTATATACAGTCCGATACAAAAGATTTGAATAATTCAAAACTTCGAATTTGATATTTCATATTTACAGATGCAACTTGATTCGTCTCCAATTTTACAATTTGAAAATACCTAATGTTGACAAAGTATTTAAAGATATAGACAATAATACTTCATGTATCAACAATTGAGGTTCATCCAAATGACATAAAAAGACCTTAATGTACCAGCTATAAGAAGACTTAAAAAATCAGGATCTAGACTAGCTTTAAGCTTAATTAAAAAAATAACTCACTGGTGTTTTCTATACATTTTTTTCAAACTAATATAAGCTATATTTCAATCTTATCATAATGGCTTGTAAAATTACATAATTTGATCGATATTATAATATCAAGAGCATAGAAGGCATAAAGATTGTGCTTCCTCTTGTAAACGATTAATAAAAACCAGACATCAGACAGATTCCTATACAAAATTATACAATAAAAATAATAAAGAATTTTATGATATGAGTGGAACGAATTTTAAATGTTAAATATGAACAATACAACACTCAGATTTTAAACACACACTTTATTTGGTAATTATCAATTCGAAAAAAACATTTATTTTTTGGCATTGAAAATATTTGAATTTAGCTGAAATTATGAGTCTAGATAATAGAATATAATATACAAAAAAAAATGTAATGTCTACATTATTATTGCCGAAAAGCAGCTAAGATGTCAACAGTATGTGTTTGGCAGATGAAATTATATAATTCAGTTAATAAATAATGAAAAAAGTCCAAAATTGCATATACATTATTTTTTTAAATTATTTAACAATACAAAAAAGTATTTCTATTTATTAAAAATAATGATTTAGAACTTTGTTTAATGTGTCAAAAATTCATTTGTTTGGCATCGGATATGGAATATTTAGTAAGCTGATCTTAAATTGAGAGTGCTCATATGAAGTAGATTTTACAAATTAATTCACCTAAAATTTGAACATAAACAATAATGTTTATTTAGTTATTAGTAAAAAAATGTACTTTAAAATTATAATTGCCAAAAGCAACTAATATATGAAATTATAGACTAAATTATTGAGCTATTACTTTGTGGGTAAAATCAAGTGTGATCAAGTTCTTTTACGGAGATACTATATTACTTTTCTCTAAATTTCTTATATGCTTATGCTAAGACCATAAATGATGATCACAAAGGCAGGAAATCAAATGGAATATTAAAAACTATAGGATAAGATGTTAAAAATTTGGAACTTTTGAATTGTAGACGTGGGTACAGGACAACGTCTATCGGGTCATCTAGTATTCACACAAGCACTACATTGGCCACCAAATGAAGCAACTCAAAAGAGTCAAAAATGTGGTTGATTGAAACTTATGTTTGATTGGACATGTCTCTTGAAGTCTACAAACGTTTAGTTACTCCAACCTTGAGTATGGTACTCAACTTTGAAACTGCTAAACAAATCAAAATAGACATCATTGATAAATGTTATTGCAGCTACTATTATAACTAACCTGTCTATTATTATTAGTTACCTCACAGATAACTCGTTCCCCGCTGACAGATCCACTGGAGACCGAGCCACTGTCTTCAGAAATGCTGATAGGTGTTTCAGACTATGGCCGGTAATCTCCGAACAAAACTCTGTCGCTCGATTTAGTTAGAGCTGCTCTCCCTTGGGAGCGCTCTTGCAGCGATTTGGCACTCATCTGTAAGAAGTTCACCACGGGCAATCAAACGATTTCGAGAACGTTCAGTTGCGTTTATAAGTGATTAGGATTAGTTTGCAAGCAAATAGTCGAAGTGTTACGTTCCAGGTGCACTAATACCAAAAAAAA